ATCTACACTGAAGCAAACAACATTTCCACAACAATTAGACTTTTCATGGAACAGTAGGTACTACAACACCTTCGATTTGTTGAATGAGCTCCAACAAGCTCCCAGCTTTCCTCTTTGCTCTATCGGTTCCATTCTCGCTAAGTTCCTTCAAGGCAATATCTGCACCAACCTCTCTTGCTACATTCAACCTCTCCATATTCCCAATACATAGATACCAAAGTATTGCTGCAGCATTTTCCCGGTTCCTTGGTGACCCTGTCTTTATAATCTCAACTAAAACCGGGATCGATTCTGCTTCAGCTATCGCCGTTTTCCCTTCTTGGTTTGTCGAAAGAATCGCCAGAATCGCCAAAGCCTCATCCACCATTCCTCCACCTGCATCTTTCAGTAATTTGGTCAAAGGATCGACGATACCACCTTTGACCGCCCTTGATTTATTTCCTTGGTATATGCATAGATTGAAAATCGCTGTTGCTGCGTCCTTTTTGCCTCTTCGGGTTCCTTCCTCAAGCAAGCTTATAAGGGCTTGGATAGCTCCAGCAGCACCTATTGCCACTTTGTTTTCATCAATAACGGATAAACTGAAAAGAGTCGCAGCTGCATTCTCTCTAGCTTCCATGCTTCCATTTTTTAGCACCTCTACGATATCCGTTATGGCTCCTGCATCAACAATGGCTCCTTTGTTACCTTCATTTATGGAAAGATTGAGAAGAGCCGTCACAGAATGTTCTTGGGTCCGAGGATCCGGTGAGGATAGAAGCTCTACAAGGAGTGGTATGGCTCCAGCCTCAGCGATACAAACTCTGTTATCTGCGTTCCTCTTCGCTAGTAACCGCAATTCTCCAGCTGCGGCTCTTTGCTGTTCTGTAGTACCATTGGCCAATTTCTCTAACAAGGACAAGACAAATGCTCGATCACAATCGGAAGAGCTGCTACCTCCTAGTTTTGTGGTTCTGCAGCTCCCTTGATTTTGTGGAAGCTCAATACCGTTGCTCTCACACCACAGAGCAATGAGACTCTTTAACACGTAATTAGGAGTTAATCCAGAATGCAGAAGTGTCTGCTGAGATTTCGGACAGGTCTTATGACCCGCATCAAGCCACTTCTGGATGGATGATCTTTCATATGTCTGCAAGGTAAAAATATCAGCTAAAACAACGTATACACTACAAGTATAATAATTAAACTCAATATAATGCACAATGAACTTGCAAAAGCAGACCTGTCCAGTAGAGACGATTACAGGGTCTTTCATCAGTTCAAGTGAAATGGGACACCGGAAATCATCTGGTATAACAGGAGAACGATGTCTCGATATGATTCTGTTGCCAGAGGATGTATCAGGTTCTGAACTTTCCATTGTTGCAGAGTCTACAAGCTTTTTAAGAAGTGAGGACATCCTCTCAAAACAGTCATCAGGATCCCCATCATACGAAAAAAAATATGCATGTATTGCATGTGATTCTTTCTTCAGCTCATCAATAGTACTGAGTTGGAGCTCTTGTGATAGTCTTCTGAGGATTTTAGGGTCAAGATCCATCACACTCTCTGCCATGTCTAGATCATGTCGAAGCTGCAGATCAATCTCCTCCCGTTTCTCTATCGCTCTCTTGAACTGAAAGTGCAGAAGCTGTACCTACAAATTCGGAGAGCATATCATCAGAATTCAGTTCACAGAATTATTATCTTTAAACCACGGAATCTAACGCCTTCCGAAGTACCTGTTCTCTGACTTCCTCTGATACTCCGATCTTATCATACGGAATCTGGCTTAACGCTGCTTCTATCTCTACAGTCTTGTCGTGGAACTTCTGCACAAGTGAATCCCTATGGAGAATCTGCCATCAGAGAGAACACAAACAAAAAAAAGGAAAAAAAAAGTCTCAACCTCTTAATGTCAAGTTTCTCACCGATCAAACATTACACAAATCACAAATTCTACATAACTCATTGATCATGGTAACTATGACAGATACATTCTACAGAACATTATGATCACCAAAGACATCAAAAATATAAACTTTCCCATATTATCCAGAAATGAAACACCTTTTGATCTTTTCTCCTGTAATGGCAGACTCAATTCAATCTCGACAAAGATATACAAGCAAAACCCTAAATTACAAAATCTTAAAACCCTTTTAACAGAAAACAGAGGAGAAATTTGCTCACTTTTTTCCAGCTACCAAAGAGAATCTTAAACAAAAGAAAGAAGAAGAAAAGCAGTAAATGAGTAGTAACCTGAAAAAGTTTGCTTCCTGTATCGACCGATCGAAAAAGCTCTAAACTTGAATCAAGAGCGATTCTCATAACCTCAAACCGTGAAATCTCTTCTTCATTCAATTCAACATTAACATCTATCAATTCCTCAAAGAAAGGGCTAAGAAGCGTGATCCTACGAACAAGATCGCCTTGGATCTTCCCGAAGAAACCCTTTGAAGCAGAAAAACCAGAAATTTCTTTGACCGAGTCAACGAGTCGACTCATTAGCTCCTCGTTGGAACAATTCGATAACCCCATTCTTGGATTTTTTTTGCTGCCTAGAGCAAGAGGGGCTTGAAAGGGGTTTTTAAAAAACGAAGAAGAAGAGACAAAGAAGAATCCTTTTGAGGAATAAGTCTCGTACCAACGTGACAATAATCAATCACCATTCGGACAGGGAAAGCCACATTTTGTCCATTT